TGAAGTTCCTGTATGCTCCAAACCGAAGTAGAGAACTTCGGTTGGAACAAAAGGCTGAAGTAAAACCAACTTGATGGCTGGGACAGTTGTGAAGAAAGCTGCTTGGGCTCAGCATCCTTGTCACAACACAGTAGCAGAAGGTAAGTTTCCATCTCTAGTCAAAATATTTAAAGCATTCCCTTCACCCTCAAGGTCATGTTTCCTTTTAGGGGGTCTTCAACAAGAAATGCAATGTTCGCTTTCTTGGGAACCTTTAAGCAAAGTTGCCCATTTCCCCATATCAATCATTACAAGAGTAGTTTTGTTCAATTTTTTTCACAAAATTTTACTTTTTGTTTGATCATAGGAGTTCTATCTCTGGGAATCAAGGGCTTTTGACTAGTAGTTAATAACTTTTCACATGCTTGGAGGGCTAAACTTTGCATTTCTTGTGAGTCAGAGGAAGTATACATATATAAATCAAAGTAAACATTACTTACAAATACATAAATATGAAAATATCCAACAATTTATGAACTGAATGTTCTTAAAAGATCCTCAAACGCCTGTAACAATGTGACAACAAGATTTAATAACTATCCCTGAACCCAAACATAACACAGAATTATGTAATAAAATGTGACAATTTCTRAACTAAATTTTGTTTTGTGGTTACTTCCGGAACAACATTCCAAAGAGGCTTTCGAATTAAACAGTAAAATCACCATTCTGGCTTTTGAAAACAGAATCTACAAGGAAGCTTATATATGACCACCAGAAAAGACGAATAACTATTAACATGTAACACCATACTAAATGTTAATTATAAGGATCTCGTTCCCAAACTAAATTTAACCTAAAAATCTGAAACCAACCCCATTTAAAACAATGCATGTTCACCAGAACTAGTCCATCTCCCATAACTTTTTAAAAGAATGCCCGCATAAACTCTAAATCGTCTGGAAAACAAAAAATGGAATGAAGAACGTAGTATAAACTCTGAATACACAGAAAACATGTGCAATCAAACTTCTCAAAATCCTTCCTTTATAAAATCAGCTATCTAGTCCAAAGTACAAAAGGAGGCAAGGAGCAGACAGCAGAGCATCTAGGTTAAACAAGAGGGTTCCCCATTCGTTGTGTTACCTTATCTGTGTAAATCGAAGGATGGCTCAACCACTCAAGGATGTAAATCGATGTTTCAAACTCGAAGGCTATGTCGCAACTCGCAAGGCTGTGTCGATGTATCGCAACTCACACACACAACTCGCTTCTTGGCCGCTGCTACTCGAGTGTGTTGCTCTCGGCCTCTCGCAGTCTCGCTTGCTGGCCGAACCGCCGAGGCGCCGAAGGCTGTCAATCGATCCGCTGGCCGCTGCTACTCGACTGTATTAGGGATTCAGTGTATTGTGTTTGTGTTTGATTTGAGTTTAGGAAGGAGCAGAGCATCTAGGTTAAACAACCGGTTCCTGTGTGTTTTGTTGCTTCCCATCGGGTCATCGGGTTGGGTCGGTTTTCATTGGGCCTAAACCGATTTCAACCCAATAGAGTCGGGTTACTTAATTTTTTAATCAATCAACCTTCGGGTTACCTCAGGTTAGTTTTTTTTTAAATCGGGTTGGATTGATCGGGTTCATCGGGTTTTTGAGCACCCCTACAATATAGTGTTCCATGCAGTGACTGTTGTACAACATGCAGTGTGTGTTTTAAGCTCATGCTTTGTGCGACTTAGACTCCTTGCTTTGAGTGATTTAAAACAGTCTTGCAGATTATGATTTGAGCGATTTATGTTAGACTTTGAGCAATCTTAACCGGATTTAGACTTTACCTTTTGAGCGTTATATCTAGTGTTTCAACTTTGACCGGATACGGACTTGAGTGGTAAGCAGTTTAGGCAGTGTCTTAACCGACTTATATTTCATGCTTTGAGTGTTTTAAAACATTCTTGAGCGGACTTCACCACACAGTGACCAATTTATTTCTTTGTCTTGACCGATTTAAGACATCTTTGAGCGGATTAAGAAACTGTTTTGAGTGATATAGATTTTAGCATTGAAAGACTTGGTTTCTCACAGATTATCTTGTAATCTTGCTTACTATTCTGTTTGGAGTCCTAGCTTATTGTTCATAAGTCTATTTTACTTGGTTACCTTGTCTAGATTTAGTTTTTGTCTCAGTTTTTTTATGATCATATTGTTGATTGAATTTCTAGGAATTGTGTGATTTTTTTAAAGTGTATTTCTTTAATCCATTTTCTTGAACTACATAGATTCTTCAGTTAATCAATCTTAATTTTCTTAATAGAAGATTTTCTTCAGAAAGAGAATAAGGAGTTGAAAGAGAGAATTACAGAGTTGGACAAGAGCTTACAGAGTTATAAGGAGAAATATCTTAACATGTTTTATGAGAATCATGATAATGTGGAATTTATTGCGAGTTTACAAAAAGAGCATAAAGTAGCATTGGAAAGAGTTGAGAATGATTTCATGAATAAGATTAATAAACTTGAGAAAACTCTGAGTTCTGTGAGGAAAGACTATGATGATGATTTGAAAACTTGGAGTAAAGCTAATAAATATATGTTTAATAAACTTCAAGAGTTGCAAACTGAGAGGAATTCTTTTGGGAAGAATATTAAAGAGACAGAGGACTTAACTGATAAATTTTATAAATCTAAGAGTAAGTTGAGTGTGTTAAAGAAATTACTGGAGTTAGAGAAGAAAAAAGCTCTGAAAGTTGAGAAGAGTTTAAGTTCTGAAAGAATAGAATTTTAAAAGGAGAAGAAGAGAATGTGTGAATTAGAGAAAAGGTTTGGAGCTGAATGCATATCTTTTGAAGATAAGATAAACTCTCTTGAGCTAAACACCAAAATGCTGTTAAAACAAATATATGATTTTGAGCAGCTAATCATCTTGGAACGTGCCAAGAATGATAAAGAGAAGAAAGACATTACAGAAGAGTGTCAGAGCCAAATACAGAAATTATCTGAAAGCATTGCTCTAAAGCAGAAGGCTTTAGATGAAGAGAAAAAGCAATTTGCTGTCGAGAAGAGAAATACTTCAAAGAAATATACAGCTATTGCTAAGGAGCTTGCTGAAAAGAAAAAGTGGCTTGACATCGCTTCTGAGAATGATAAAAGTAGCACAGATGAAGAGCGAAGAGAGTTTAATAATCAGAAGAAGAAGTTTGAAATGCTTAAAAAGGAGTTAGAAGGTAAACTCCTTGACACTACAAAAAAATTGTCTAATCTGAAAACAGAACTTGAAACTGAGCTGAAGATGAGAACAAAACTCAAAAATAAGCTTGATTTAGTTACTGTTGAAAGTGACAAGCTTTTACAGAAAGTCAAAGACTTTTCTTGTGCACAAAGCTCAATCGGTTCTCCTTCTCAGTGTAAAACCAGCTTCTATGACTGTTCCAAATCGAACAGTTATTCAAGCAGCCCTAAATCAACTATTTCTAAGAACTACTCTCGTTCTTCTAATCAGTATTATCAAGGGTATGTTATCGGTTCACCCAATTATTATTCTAAGGTCAAAAGCATTTGGGTCAGTAAATCTGAATCTGTTTCATCATGTACTCCTGTTGTTACTAATTATTTTCCTTGTTTTGTAAGATCTACTACTGATTTGATTCATCTTATTAAGAGAAGAATCATGTGCTCCACATGTAAATCAACAGAGTTTGTGAACAAGAAGATATACAACAGATGGAGTACAGACAACATATATCAGAAAGATTGGAAAGGTAAGAACAGGTATGATCACAATAAATGGTATGGATCATATTTTATTTCTGATCATCCTGTCCAAAGTGCTAAAAAGAATATTTCTAATAGAAATAGATGGTTTGGTAGTTACAACATACCCCAACCCGATACTAACAAAATAGGACCCAAATTCATTGGGTACCAAAATCTATTTAATTTGGTTTTGTAGGTGTGTCAAGTTTGTGCTGATCAAAATATCATTTCTTTGATACACTAATGCAGGGGGAGTTGTACATTGTCCAACATGGCTTCTGAAAAATTCAGTTCAGGACCCGTGCTTTACCGAGTGTGGTTTCTAAACACCCAGTTTAGAACCCGTGCTTAAAATGTTCCCATATTTTTTTTGAGCGAAATCAAAATATTACTTAAATCTACTTTCTAGGGGGAGTCTCTAGAAAGTTCAATAAATGTTTTTCGGAAAATAATTTTTTTTGGGAAACGAGTATATTTTCTGAACATGTATTTCCTGAGATTTTACTTGTGTAATTTCTCATCGATCATAACTCCAATACCTGTTTTAGCTATTCTTCAAACCGTTATTATCACGTCTCTTCTATATAAGTCATTTTCGGTGATAATACAATCGTCTGTATTCAAATGTTGATTTTTCTGTTTTTTTTTCTTGATTGATATACATTTCATTTTTTTAATCAGAATCTGTAAACTCGTACTAACAGATCTTCATTCATTTCTTTCGCATACCGAATAATCTGATCATTGTCGCATCATTCTTTCATTGATTGTGCTTAAAGCCAAATATCTTTATCAATTTTTATCTGATCATTGTGCTTTATCTGAAATATTATGTTTGATCAACTGTTTGTGATCAACTGTGCATAATGCTAATTTTAGGAGGGACTGAGTGCTTATCAGAAATACCTCTATGGAATGTCAGAACCGACAGACCTACCCAAGAGGACAACCATATATGAGTGAGATTAAATACAAAAGGGTTTGTGTGCTGAGATTAAAATGAAAAAGAGAGGGGTAGTTGTTGTGAGACAAAAGAATTGATGAGAGTTGTGTCAGGATTAAAAGAATATAAGAATCCTGTTCCAAACTTCAAATTACCGGGCATACCACATAATCTATTAGTTCTCAATTCTTTCGATACTAATATTGAAAAAGGCAAAGCCCAGGACAATTCTTGTCACAACCCCACCAGCTACTCATTTATCTCTTAACAAATAAGTGTTTCAATAACATTTGGAGCACGCAGCTCACAATCTATCAATTTCTAATTCGGAGAAAGTTGATATTGAAACAGAAGGATATATGTCCACCCTTCAAGTCTTTTTTTGATCACTAATTGAGTTTGATAAATTTGTGTAGTCCACACGGTTTATCTTTTTGAGTCTAAACAGAAGCATATGTTGCTTTATCTTTCTACACTACACAGATTGCATTTTATTTGTTAATTTGCCAAAACATTCATAGATATGCTATTTTTAAGTTATCGATGATTGAATGGAAGACCTGGTGAGATGAGCATCATAAAGTCTCATATATACAGTACATCCGTTGAACTGAGTATATCTGCTATACTCACAGGACAATCTTTTTATAAGATTGAAAACAATTTCATTCGTTGAAATTGGTTGTTACCTTCATTTTCCCTTAATCTGAAAAGATTAAACAAGTGGATTTGAAAAGATCTACTTACAATTTCATGAATTGACGGCTTACGCGGAGGATTTCATTCATTCTTGTATATGATGTAATGATTCTTATTTCATCATAAGGGGGAGTATGTTATAATGAATGAAATGTCCAATTCCAAACATTATAAGGGGAATATGATGTAAAGATCAAGGGGGAGTAACTTCAATAATGGCAAAAGACTCAAAAGRAGTGCGACTGGAGATGATTACAAAGATTATTCCGATGCTACAATGTCTGAGAGTTGTTGAATGTGAAGATCATTATTACAACAGTTTACTGATAGAGATTTCTCGTCGTAAAAGAATGTTTGTGATCTTATCTGAAGAAATTCATTATTGGGGAGAATGTTTAAAATTTGTTCGTTATTGTTTCTGATCTACATTGTCAAAAGAGAAGATCATCGCGGTTCTACATTCGAGGGGGAGAATGTTAAAAGATCTTTCTCAACAAATGATTGTCTGAAGTTTCAAGTTGGAGATTGTTTTTGAAGAAGACATAGTGTGCTTAAAGCATCAAAGTTCAAACAAGGTTCAACGCGCGCAAATTCTTTCAAGCCTGAATACAAAGGGGGAGAATGTTAGGACTGGAAATCAGTGATAAATTGTATTCGTCTTGAAAGTTTATTTTGCCTATAATTGTTTAAAAGTCATCGTGTTTGACTTTTCATTAGACTGCTTGTCTTTGACCTTTGTGTCATGTTTGACCCTATATAAAGGGTGATGTCTTGTAATTTTAGAGAGAGCTCCATTGTAATATCTCAGT